TGAGAAAATTCCTTCTACTATGGGATAGATCTAATTCTTAGCAAGTTTTTTTTTCTCCTAACATCATGCCTTTGCAACTGCCACCCATTTATCCTGTTTTGATTCCTCAGAGTGGCATGAAACAAATATAATCCCTCCTCAATGTGACAACCTTCCGAATATTTGAAGATGGCTGGTAAGTCCTCCCTGAATCCACTCTTCTCCAAACGAAGTAGCCCTAGTTCCTTTGAAAGACCCTCCCCTGACATATTCTCCAATCATCCTGTGACTCTGGTCACCTTTCAGTTTTGAGGTTAGTCATCATATCAACCAATCAACAAGTATTTATGGAAGGCCTGCTAATGGTTAACTTCAATTAGTGGAGAACCCTGCACTAATCCCAGCACAACAATCCCCTTGTAGAGATCCCCAGCATCCCTTTGCTTTTAGCAAAGCAATGTGAATAATTAACAATACTTCAAGAGACTCCTATTTCATTAGCATGGGCCTTCCCTCCACTGAACCCCTCCACAACTCAGAAGACAGTTTAATGAGTGGCTATGATGACATAAAACAATAGGGAAAAAAAAAAGCAAACCAAACTTTATTCAATCACTTCTTTGCTCTCTAAGACTTGCATTAGAAATTGATTTTTTTAGAATCATGCATTTAGAGCTGAAAGGGACCTCAGAGGACCTTTAAAATTACCTCCTAGTTTTAACGAGGAGGAAACTGGGGCCCAGAGAAACTGGTTGCCTGAGGTCACATAGCTAGCAAATGGTAGAGCCAAGATCATAGATTTGCAGATTTAGAGATGGAAGGGACCTTAGAGGCCCCCATATCCAAGTGCCTTATTTTACAGATCTGGAAATTGAGGCAGAAAGAGGTTAAGTGATTTGCCCTGAGCTAGGATTTGAACCCAGGTGTTCCCAACTTCAAATCCACCGCCCTATCCACTCCAGGGAAACCTGCGGCCTCGAGGCCATATGTGGTCCTCTAGGTCCTCAAGTGCAGCCCTTTGACTGAATCCAAACTTCACAGAACAAATGCCCTTAATAAAAGGATTTGTTCTATAAAACTTGAACTCAGTCAAAAAGCCACACCCAAGGCCCTAGAAGGCCGCATGTGACCTCAAGGCTGCAAGTTCCCTACCCCTGCCACCATGTTGCTTCTATATACAACATACCTTCCACTGTGAATTCTCAGCTTTCAGAAGAGAGAATACCCTCTTAATTTCAGGTAGTTTTCCTCTTAGATAGTTGCTATTGATATGAATATCTTTGCCCAGAGAATAAGAGGACATCTCTAAAAAGTTGTTTCCTGCCAGGTTGCTTGTGTATATGAAGGATGCCCTAGTTAGCCATCATCCCTCTACTCCAGCTGTCAGAAGGAGGCCATGGGCAGGGAGGAAATGTACCCTCTTGCCAGTCCAGATCACTGGCACCACAAACTTGAGAGACAAAGGCTCCAGGCAGGATTTGGGATTTCTCTGGCCACAAACACCATGTGTCCTGAGATAGAACTGCCCTTTGCATATCATCTCAAACCTCTGACATCAGACTGTCCCCGGCCGGGGACACCGTGCACCGGCAAAAGAGGAATGTCATGACCACACAGCTAGTTAAGCAGCAAGGAAGAAGATGGTTTTCTCCTGTGGTTCCTAAGTCAAGCCTCTGCTCTCTGTGCTAATGAGACCAGAGGGAGCAGAGTGTCCTAAATCCTCCGAGCCCATTCCTGGCCAAGGTTTCAAGTTGTTAGAGAAGTTTATCTTCAGTGCCTTTCTATGTAGTTTATATCCATGACCTTTTAGTCTCCCCTCCTGCAAAATAAATGAAAGCAGTCCAAATTTCTATAATATTTTGCTGTTTACTGAGCCTCAACAACTCTGTATGGCAGGCAAATTGTTTTAGGCAAATTGCAGATTGGTAATGTCAGCATTTTTGTTGATTTGCATCCAGATGTGATTTTATCTCTATAGGGAACTCCCAGCATGGAAACTCCTCCTCCGAGTCCAGATTGGCAGTAAATAATCATTTTAGAGTTGCCTGGGGGGCACTGAGAGGTTAAACTACTTGCCTTCAGTCACCTAGTTGGGCAGGACTTGAACCCAGGTCTTCTAGACTCTACCATCTACTATTCTGAAGAGCAAGTATTTTGATCCCATTTAACAGATGAGGAAATTTCAGCTTAGAGTGTGAAACCCAAAGTCACCAGCAGAGGTAGGACTTCTATCTCTTTCTACTGCACTGAACCACCTTCATGCTACAGCCCAAGACTCTTCCCTTCGGCAACAGGCAATTCTTCCTGGTGAGATAATCACAGTATTAGAGCTGGAAGGGACCTCAGAGATCATCTGGGCCAAACGTAGAGCCCAGGACCATAGATCGAGAGCCAGAAGAAACCTTAGAGGTCAACTGGCCCAATCCTCCCATTTCACAGATGAAGAAACTGAGACCCACAGTGGTGAACGGACTGTCCCAAGGTCACATAGGTAGTAAGACATAGAGCCTAGACTCAAAACCAGTTCTCCTAATCATGTCTATTGCTTTTTGTGGTACTACAGAAATTTTCCTGCCCCTTTTCCTCATCAGAATGCACTCCTCTGGTGTCCCATGCCCTCAGAGATATACTTTCAGCCAAGATGTCCCATTAACTAATTTATGCTTGCCTATAAATGGATGATAATTGTTTCATGTGTATGCCAGGATGACATTTGTACTTTAATAGTTTTCAGAGCCTTAAGCCAAAGGAATGTCTCACGGAGGAACTTTCAAGGAGCACAGTGGAACTGTGGTGAAGAGATCTGGAGGCTGGCAGACCTTCCCTGGCCCACTCCACGTCATTCGGTGCTTTTTCTCATGCCAGCCTTGGTGCATACAAACAATCCCAAACCCTGTATTTAACCCTTGCTCCATGTTTCCCAACTGTGACTGGATCCACAGGGCAATGGTTGAACTTTTGCCCCAGGGAAGGGAGGGAAGGAGAGTCAGGGAGCTTTGGAGAAGATTAAAAGGAGACACGGGCATGAAAAAGAGAAATATTAAAAACTGTCACACAGTGATCTCACTACTAGGACTACGCTCTAAAGATCTCATTAAAAGGGGGGAAGGAACACTTATCACTATGAAAATATTAATAGTTTTATTCATAATTGCAAAAATCTGGAAATAACCCCATGTTTGGAATAGCTGAAGCAGTCAAATCAGTCATTGCCAGTGTGGGAATCCTCACTGGGGATTTGTCCCAGATTACTGGATTCAGAGGGTGCTGAAAGCAGACAGTGTCCTTTAGAGAGGACAGTTAGTAAGCTTTCTCCCCATCCACAGCTGCACCCAGGTAAACTTCACAGCTGCCTAGGTAGCCACCTGCCACCCCCTTTCTTAAGAAGTTAATTTGGAGGGGTATGATTTGTACTGCCCCAGGCTCCAATATTGCTTGTTAATGATCCTGTCAGAACAAACTGTGTAGGAATGTTCTAGGATAAGATTGTGCTATAAGAATTGGAAAATATGAAGAATACAAAGAAATACAGAAAAACATGTGAGAAGGGGTACCAAAGGGCAATAGAATACACAAAAAATGATACCGACACGCTAACAAAAGCCAGAAAACACCAAAAAAAAAAAGCACTGAAAAAGAGATAGGACAAGGGAGTGTGGAGGCAAACAGATTTTTGTCATCATTTTGAGGGGAAAACACTTGTTTAAAAACAAATTATAAATAATTTCCAGTTTCCAGGTTATGCAGGGTCATTTTAAAATTCTTGTTTGTTTAATTCACTGTTTGTTTTTGAAGGTTGTTACTAAGTTGAGGATAAAAAGATTATTGAATAAACATATAAAGATTGAACTCAACTGTCTCACACACAAAAAGAAGAGGAGGAGGCAGGAAATGAAAACTTCATATTTCTGTAGTTCTATAAGGTTCCTCCTGACAATCCTGTGCAGTAAGAGGAGGATCGTGATGCCCATCTTGCTGGTGAGGATGCTATGACTCAGATCATTCTGAAATGACTTGGCTATGATCATACAGTCAGTAAAGGCAGAAACAACTCAGACCCAGGTCCGTTAAAATATGCCCATACATAGATAACCACACACAACATGTTCAAGAGACCACTGGGACCAAAATTTAACAAATCTCTCTCCCTTCCCATCCCTCCCTCTTCTCTCTCTGTCTCTGTCTCTGTCTCTGTGTTTTCTCTCTGTCTCTCTGTCTGAATCTCTCCCCTCTTCTCCTCTTCCTAGCTCACTAGAGGCAAATTTATTTATCTGATTAAAAAGCAGATCGGTCAATGCCAAACTTTTCCATATGTGAGTAATGTCATCTCTACTACACTAATCATCTCACTAGAAGACCCATCCCTCTAATCAATCCCACCCCCACCCTTATTTCCAAAGTTAAACAGGCATCACAAAAGGTCAATCATTTCCTGTTCTTAAATAAAGTAGTACTAAGTAGGTTACAGAAGGCTTTAATAGGAAGAGAAAAAGGGAAGGAATGGGAGAAAGAGTGAAAGAGAGAGAAGAGAAGGGATGAGGAAGCATGGAAATGAGAGGGAATAGAAAGGAAGAAGGGATCATAGGAGCATTTGTATAGATGAGGAAATGAGACTCGGAGAAGTTAAATGAGTTTCCCAAAGTAAATAAGAGGCAGAGTTGGTATTCAAACCCTGCTCTTTCTGATTCCAAAGTCAGGGTTTTTCCCACTACACTATTAGAAGAGAGGGAATGGAAGATATGGGGTGGGGGTTGGGAAATGGTGAGAGAGAATGGAAAGAGAGAAGGAATCAGAGGGAAGAGGGAATGAGAGCAGGCAGATGGGAGAAGGAAGAAACAGATGGATGGAAAAGAAAGTGGGGTGTTACAGGAGAGGTCCTAGAAAGAGAAGAGGGAGGCAGGAGTAGAAGGGGAAAAAAACAGAAAATGCTTAGAAAGTAGCTATACACCCCAAAAAGATAGGGAGGCAGGATGTAGAGTTTTGAGGGCTTTTGGACTATGATAACTATACAAGAGCCTTACCTTCCTGGCTTCCAGGGTCAGAATGAATGGAGTTAGGGTCAACCTTCTCTTGAGGTGGATAGTGGTAGAGAGTCTGGGACTGTTTGGGGGTCTCCTCAGTTGGATCCTTTTGGAGAGCAACAGGAGGGAGAGTGGTTGGAGTAAATTTCACTTTGGGGATGGTCTTTTCCACTCGACCCACTTGAGCTGGCTGGGGCATGTTTCTTTCTGTGGGAGTCACCTCTTGGAATCCAATGCTGGCACTCCTTTCGCCATCCCTTCCCCTGTCTCTGGGGTGTGGATGAACATTGGGAATGGTGTTTCCTTCGGGCTCTGCCCTCCCTTGTTCTTTGCCTCTCTCCTGGGCTCTTTCCTCGGATTCTACAGCATTGTTTGAATTCTGTCTCTCCTCTGGCTTCTCGTAAATACTTCTAGCTCCAGTGGCTTTTTCATTCACCTCATGTGCCTTGGAGGGTTCTGGGTAGCCATCATCTTCTCCCCTCTCTTCTTCCTCTATCTCCTCCTCCTCCTCCTCCTCCTCTTCTTCTTCATCTATGACTCCCTTCTCTTTCTGTTCCATCACACTCCTGGTTCTAGACTGGCTGGGGACTTTGGGGTCCATGGCCACAGCAGCTGCCTGCCTGGTAGGGGAGACAAGGTGGGTAAATCCCGGAAGGGTTGTATTGTTGGCCATAGTGTTTGTATTCTCACTCTGCAGCTCCAGCTGCTCTAGGCTGCTGAGGTCCGGGGCAGGCTGGGCGCCTGGAACTGTCCAGCCTTTTGTCGGCGCTTCCACCTGTGCTGCGTCTCCTTCTGAAGCCTCCTGGTCATAGCTGTAGGGGTCATCGTAATGTCTGTCGGGGTCATTGTCCTCATGCTCGGAGAGGTTGCCAGAGAGGTGAAAGGCAGAGGCATCACAGCCTGGGACCTGGTAACAAATGAGCTCGCCACCAGAGTTTGGGCAGTGGCAGACTTTGCATTGGGGCATGCGGACAGTATGACCTGCCACATACTTCTGGCCCTCGTGCAAGCAGCCTATACGTCCACACTGTGGGCAGCCATCCGACGGGATGACGGCGTCAATGCAGTTTGGGGGCAGATCTGGGCAAAGCATGAACTGGCAGCTGATCTTCCCGCCACCTTTGGGGCAAGAGCATTCGGTGCTTCCAAAGTCCACAAAGTAGGACTGCCCCTCAGGCACCTTGCCATTCATGAAGCCAACATTGACACAGTCGTAGTACTGGTAACCCTCACAGGTGCAGCCGTGCTGCAGGCAGGAGGCACAGCACTCCCCAGGCTCCAGCACCTCCTCAATGCAATTCTCCAAGGGCTTGCAGTCCACACCTGTGCAATCCTTCTGGGCCCCAGACCCCCTAGATAGGAGCAGCAGCAAGGTGATTACTGACAGACAGTACCAAGGAAGCCCTCCGGGCAGAGCCATAATCCCCCTTCTCCAGCAAAGGAAACACCTTGATTGCACTATCTAGCCCGTCTCAGGTCCGAGCAGCCGTGGTCCTCCCAGATCCTTCTTTCCTCCTCTTCGCTCCTGCATTTATGAAAGAGAACTCTGTCAGCGACTCTGCTTAGCACACACTCACACACACGCGTGCGCACACGTGCGCACACGCACACATCCTGCCTGGTAAGCATTAAAGATCCTTAGAAGTTGGGATAACATCCAACAGCTGGAAAACTCGGCAAGGAGTTAATCATTATGTCTCCAATTCTGCAGGCCCTCGATCCCAGCTAGGAGGAGTTACTCCCCTTGAGCTATCTGAAATCCAGGCCTTCTTGGCTGCTTCAATTCGTAATTGTTCTCACTGGGCCAAAAGAATTCTGTATACCTGTAAAAGCTTCATTCATCTCTCTCTGTCTCTATCCCTGTCTCCCTATCTCTCTCTCTCTTTTCTTTATAACGGTCTCTGTCTCTATCTCATCACCTATCTCTGTGTGTCTGTCTCTTTCTCTTTCTGTCTGTGTCTGTGTCTGTCTGTCTGTTTCTGTCTGTATGTCTGTCTCTGTCTCTCACTGTCTCCCTTTGTCTCTCTCTGTGAGTGTCTCTCTCTGTCCATCTGTCTCTATCTCTCTGTCTCTCTGTTTGTTTCTCTCCCTCTCTCTCTCTGTTTCTCTTCTCTGTCTCTCTATCTCACTGTCTCTTTCTGTCTATGTCTATAACTGTCTGTTTCTGTGTCTGTCTCTCACTGTCTCCCTTTGTCTCTCTGTCCATCTGTATCTCTCTTTGTCTCTGACTCTCTCAGTCTCTCTCTCTCTGTGTTTCTCTGTCTCTGTCTCTCTGTCTGTCTGTCTCTCTCCCTTTCTCAGCACAAGAGTCATATCCTATTACTATGAGCCCTGAGGGGCTGTATGAATTCTGCAGTTTCCTGAATTTTCTTGGATCAAACACTTCTGAAATACACATCTACTGGGGCCTGAATATCTTTTTGTCATCTAGAGACTTTGCACTGTAATGGGATTTAATAATCAATACCTTACTTATACTTCACACTTTATACTTTTCAAAGCAATTTCAGATATAACCCAAGAGGCAAGATGGTGCAGAGAGAAGCATGTTTGATCTGGAGGCAGAGCATCTGGGTTCTTAATGTCTCAGTCTGCAGAATGGGCAGCAGAATACTCAATCTGCCAACCTATCTCACAGGATTCTGTTAAGGACTGAATAAGGTCATGCATGCAAAAGGACCTTGGAAACTGTCTCATTCTGTATCAATGTAAGGGGTTATAGTATAATGTTCCTAATGGGGCAAACAGGGACAAGGCAATCGGAGCGACTTCTTTCTGGGGCCCCAAGCAGGATCTATAGCCATCAGAGGACTGAATCCTGACTCTTTTTATCTTTAGTCTTTTTTCTTCTCTATCTTAGCTTTTTTTCATCTTTTAAATAAATGGTTTGAGCTAGATCAGGGATTCTTAACCTATAGTCCATGAAATTTAAGAAAAAAATTTTTGATTACTATATTTCAGTATTACTGGTTTCCCTTATGTATTTCAACCATTCAAAACCACTATTCTTTTTAAAATATTTTATTTTTTCCCTAATTACATGTAAAGCAATTTTTAACATTCTTTTTTTGTATTTTGAGTTCCAAATTCTCTCCCTCCTTCTCTCCCCCCCCACCTCGAGAAGGCAAACAATTTTATATAGATTATACTTGTAGAATCATGCAAAACCTATCTCCATATTAACCACGTAAAACCACAATTTTGAGAAGGAGTTCCTAGGCTATACCAGATTGCCCAAGGGGTTTGTGAAACAAGAAAGTAAAAGAACTCTGAACCAGGTGGTCTTTAAGGTCCCTACCAGCTCCACATGGCTGTGTTAAAGTGCATTCATTCAATGGCTCCTCAATGAGAAGCTCCATTTTCCAGATGGGCAAATAAAGGCTTTGACAAATGAAGTGACTTGTCCAGGGTGACATGATCACCTTGGAAAGCGGCAGAGTCCCTTGAGCGTCATACTGTTGCACATACTGTCTCTCTATTTCACACGAAAGCAAATTGAGTACAGAGACCAGGATCATAGATTTAGAGCTTGAAGGAAATTTAGGCTGTGAAGAGGCCATTGAGACCAACCTCCATGCTAGAGAGGAAGAAACTGAGGCAAGGAGAGAGGTTACTCAGAGTCACACAATTAGTAGGTGTCTGAGGTGGGATTTGAACCTAGGACTTCCTAACTTGAAATCCAGCACTCAATCCACTATACCTTGCTGCCCATTAACTAGGACCCAGAGGAAGTAAATGTTGATAAATGAGGGAAGGAGGAGAAGTAAAGGTCCAGAAAGACAGTTACTGTTTGGGGAGCTTAAGCCTTGGAGGGACTTTAAGCATAATAATTGTAATTACAGTAACAACAGCATTTATTGAGAGCTTTAAAGTTTGCAAACTTTACATAGATTAACTCATTTGATCCTCACAAGAACTCATTATTGTTGTTCAGTCATTCAACCTTGTCTGACTCTTTGTGACCCCATGGACCATACTGTCCAATGGGTTTTCTTGGCAAAGATACTGGAGTGGTTCACCATCTCCTTCTCCAGTGGATTAAGGCAAACAGAGGTGAAGTGGCTTGCCCAGGGTCGCATAGCTTGTGTCTGAGGCTGAACTCAGGTCTTCCTGACTCCAGGCCTGGCGCTCTATCCACTGCACCACCTAGCTGCCTCTTAAATGAAACTTGGCCCCAGAGGGGAGAATTGGCAGAGTCACGGAGGTTTCAAAGAGACAGATTGGGTTTGATATGAGGAAAAACTTCCAAATGGTGAGAGCTAGCCCAAAGTGGAATGGACTATCTTAAAAGGAAGTGAGTTCTCCCACACTGGAGGGCCTTCAAGCAAGGAACAGATGCCCATTTGCTGGTATGCTGTAGACAAGATTCTTTTTCAAATACAGGTTGGACTCTACGGCCACAAGTCTCTTCCAGCTCTGAAATACCATTAATCTTTGATTTTTAAGGGGAGAGAGGTGGATAGAGTTTGAAGTTGTGGCCAGAGGGAAACTCCGAGTTCCATAAAGAGTGCCACTCTTGAAGTCAAGAAGACCTGAGTTCAAATCCTGTCTCCAGCACTCTTTCAATGTGTGACTCTGAGCAAATCACTAGACCTTTCTCAGTCTGTTTCCTCATCCTGCTTCAAAGCTCTCCCCTCTCTGGTCCGTCCTCCACACAGCTTCCAGACTGATAATTCTTAAAGCATAGATTTGACCATGTTACTTCCCTGCTCGAGAAGTTCTAATGGTTCCCTCTTGTCTCCATGTTGACATTTTTTTAAAACCCTCTACTTGGCAATGAAAGCCCTTCACAACCTGGTCCCAACCTTCCTTTCCAGCTTGGTTAGAGATTTCTCCCCTTCATTCACTCTATGTTCTAGCCAGACGGAACTATTTCCTGCTTCCTGTATGCAATATTCTATCTCTTATCCCCACGGCCATTGTAGGCATCTCTATGCCTGCAATGCACTCTCTCTTCACCTCTGCCTTTTAAAATTCCCTCACTTCCTTCAAGGCTCAGGACAAGCGCCTGATGCCCCAAGTTGATAGTTCTCTCCATCCCCAAAGTTCCTTTTCATATATTTTGCATTCATTTTTCTGGGTATATGCTATTTCTCCCCCCTCCCTAGAATATAAGCTCCTTGAGGGCAGGGCCTGTTTCATTTTTGGCTTTGTATTTCCAGTGCCTAACAGGCTTGGGGAATGAACCAGTGAAAGCCCAGCTTTGCAACTTACTAGCAGCATGGACTGCTGGCCAATCATTCCTCTTTTCTGGATCCCTATCTTCAAAATGAGGGAATAGGACAGCACACATTAGTGCTAAAGGTCCTTCCAGCTCTGGCTCTCAACAAACTTAGGAGACTAGAATTTCCTAAATCCTGCATTTCACACCAGGGAGTTGCAGTCATTAATGATTTCAAATACCTCTGGCCAGAGTAAAAGGTTTTAGCTAGATAATTAACTCTAAGAATAGAACTCCCCATAAAAATAGGAGGATAGGGTATAAAGCCAGAAGAGACTTAGGAATCAACTAATGCAGCTCTGTTCTTTTACAGATGAAAAAACAGAGGCCCAGGGAAATTAAATGACTTACTTAAGATCTCATAGGTAGTTAAGTACCAGAGTTGGTATTTAAAAACAGTCTGAAACCAATGTTAATGCTTTTTATATGATGCCCACCTATAATTAAAATTAATAGGTATATACATACATATATATGTACGTACACACATATATACATATACATACATACACACACACACACACACACACACATACATAAAGATAGAGAGATAGGTAGAACAGCCACTCATTTTAGAAATGGAAGTATAAAAGGAGACAAGTCTATCAATATGCTAGCTCTTTGTCACATCTATAGACATTCACTAATCATGATACTCTCTACATTTGTGCCTTGGTTTAATGTTTCTTTCCTATACTATTAGAGATTATATGTATGTTGTATATATGTATATATGTGTGTATATGCATATATATATATCTTTGGAGTGGAATAAGGGTGAGTTCAAAAATGAGATATTTTTAAGTTTATACATATATATATACACACACAGACACATGTATAGATAGAGGGATAGATAGGTAGATAGAAAAACATGTGTACATATAACCAGTCCATTGTGCATATTGGCCAGGCTATCCACAAATTGGTGGAAAGGACTGGCTTTTAACTGTAAAGAAAAAGGTGACTCTTTGCTTAGAGAAGAATGACGCTAACTTACAAAGTACAAATGTGATTTGTAAAAAAAAAAATCAAGCCTTTTATCTCAGTGATTTCAAAAAGTTAATAAAAATATTAAAAGAATTTATAAAATAGAAAATACTTTTGGTGAGAAAAAATCCTAAACTTTTTGAGATCTCTTGTCTTTTTAACTCACCTTATTCCACTCCAAAGATGTTTTGATAATTACCTTTATTCTTGCTTAAACTTTAAATCCAATTTTTCTACACTTGGGCAGATTCTGTCTTCTAAAGTGAAAAGAACTTAGTTTCTGAACATGAGCTTTAACATATATTAAATACAAG